AAACTGATGTTCCCAGGGGATTGATATTTCCTCTTACTGAAGTGTTTATTAGAGAGATCAAAATTTAATCACCTATCAAAGAAACAAAGGGGCATTAAATAAAAAGGAGTATATACATAAAGGTAATTCTATTCTAGAAAATAATTTTTGATCTGTAAGGAACTTTACAAATACTTAATTTATAGGACAGAAAATTGAGAACAAGAGAGATAAGATAATGCCCATGGACATTCAAATTATTAAAGACAGAAATAGGATCAGAAGAAACAAATTTTATCTGTTAGAATATGTGCTTTGAGTGTATTTAATTCTAGAAAGTAACTTCTGGATTTCCCTTTATTGAGGGATGGTCATATGATGGGCAGTTATGAGATCAAAGCTCAAATAACTTCTACGCATATTAGTACCTCTGACCTTGTACCATGCCTGTTTTCTCATGTGAAAACAAGGTATCTGGTGCATACATGTGCTCACTGAATATTAGCTATTAACTATTACTTAATATTTTGGCTAACTTAGGTATATATCTTGAGTTTTGATAAAAAATGGTTCATATACTTGAGAAGCTTAGAAATAGTAGAAAAGGGCAACACACACAGTTATTTAATAAATACTTATTAATGACTTAGAATGTGAATACTGGATAGTTATCCACAGACTGTTATGGATCTATGGGAGCATAAAACATCCAAACCAGCCTGAGAGTGAGGGTGATGCTTTTCTCTGGGAAATCAGTATAGGGAGATTTATAGGGGAGGGCTCTCAGGATCAATCCCTATGGCAGAATGATGAGAGCAGTACTGAACAGAGAGAGGATGGATTCACACACAGTTACGGTAAAGAACTCAGCTAATACCAAGTTGAATTCTGGACCTGGGATGGCCCTTCAGAATTGTCCCAAACTGGGGCAAGGGGTCCTTTATACACTCCTATATTGACTAGTCATTGGATACAATCTGTCTGCAGGAAGGAAGAATGATCTTGGGTGATGTGACTTTCTTCAGCCACAGGCAATGCCTAGGCAGGGGACCCTGGCTACAAACTGTAAACCAGCAATATTCCCAGAAGGTGAGAGAAGGAGGGCTATTGTTCTGAAGGGACACTGTGGGTGAGTTTATGTGACATCACAACACATACCATAATAGGTATTGGGGAAAACTTCCTGGAGTAAAGGAAAATCTTAAAGATTTAGAAGATGTATCCAAAGTTGAGTTTATGTGCAGGGGTACAGATATAACATAAACAAAGATACAGAAGGTTTAGAGAAACTGCAAGTAGTTTCTAGAACATAATGATGAGGAAGTATCTGGTTAGGTGAGGTTGTAGGAGAGTATATTAGTGATATCTGAACAAGTAAGTAGGGCCAGGTCATAAAGACTTTAAAGTGACAGACTTTAATCTATAGATTTTTTTTTTTTTTTTTTTTTTTTTTTTTTTTAAGAGCGAGAGAGTGTGATTTGGGGAGGAGGGCCAGAGGGAGAGAGAGAGAGATAATCTTAAGCAGGCTCCACACACACGCGGGGCTCAATCTCATGACCCTGAGATCATGACCTGAGCCAAAATCAAGAGTTGGATGCTTAACTGACTGAGCCACCGAGGCTCCCCTAACCTACAGATATTTGAACATTGTTGAAATATATGAATGAGGGCGGAGACCAAAGTCAGATTATCTTTTAGAAAAACCATCCCAACAACAGTGTGGGTGATATATTTGAGATTATCAAGGCTGGAGGCAGGAAAGCTGTACAATAGTTTGGGTGTTAGATGATGAGACCTGAATAATACTACCTCTCTAGAGGAAGTATTTAATAATTTCACATTAAACTTGTATTATTTTACATGATTTTTTTATCATGACACGCTCACATTATTTTTTTTATTATTTATATTCTCCTGGGTTCCATAGATTTTGTTTTCTGAGAAGATCATTTGGGGTTTCCTTAGAGGATAAAAGGAAAATATGTGTATTCTATGTACATTGTAAGCTTATCTATCCATTCAACAACACTTACTTTTATCAGTATATGTCCAGAGCATGAGAAAGATTTTTTAAAATTAGATTTATACATTATGATCACAGCTATTATAAGGGTTTCCAAAATAAAATTTCTGTTAAGACAGAATACTTAAAAAAAAAAAACTCTCAAAAAACCATCTGAATTTAATTTGGGAGAGGAGAAAATATAGAAAATTTAAAAACATAAAACAAAAACCTAAAATCTAACATGAATTCCATAGCTCCGTTTTTAGTTGAAATTTACTTGAGTTTGAGCAGGTGAGTTGACCAAAGCCTCAGTTTCTTTAAATGTGTCTAGTAATACCTACCTCAAAAATTCATTGTGAAGACTGAATGTCTAAAGTGTTAAAAACCATTTCGTAAATTATAAGACACTATACAAATGCTAGTACTAATTCTTTTAACGAATTATCACAATGAGACATTCCTTTCTAATTCAGAAGGAAGAGAAATAAGTGGGGGGAAAGCAACAGCAAAGTTGGACATCTGGAGCTCTAACTCAGGCCATGCTTGGTGTTCCTGGCTTGAGTGAGTGATGATACAGGTGGAGAGGGAAGTCACAAGGGTAAACACCCTTTTCAAGCTTCTGATTGATTTTCTTTGAAAGAGTAAATAAGACCATTTTACAGTGTGCTTATTTTCAGTAAGCTCTCACCAGAACAGACATTATGTTTAAATGAGTTCTAACTTCCCATTTGATGCCAACATGAATCTTACACTTAATTGCATAAGAAGGTGATGATTACACACCTATTTTCTGCTGGGTCCTGGCAGGAGACAGGGCCAGAGCTATCAAATTTTTTACAGCAGCATTACAGAGTAGAAACCACACCAAACTAGGTAGGAGTCAAACATTCCCTATTTAAGTCTTTCTCCTTCCTTGGGAACAATGTTGCATATTTCTGGATCTCAACTTTCTTTTCTTGACAACCCAGAGGATTGGAAATTAAAGTATTAAGTGCCTTCTAGATTTAGAATCCTGAGTCTCTAGGTTCATAGTTGTCTCAAGAAAGAAAAATTGGGATCCCAGAGTGTGTGCCTCACTCTATCTGGGAAAACTTGCTTTTCAATCATAGATCTGCATTAGGTGGGTGAAGATCAGAATCATACAGCGAAGGAATGGGAAATGCTCAATGTGGGCAGTGGGGCATTCTGAGAGGAAGTAAGTGCTCCTTCCTCAAGCAGATGCCAGAATGACATTGACACCACACACCCTAAAGCCTACTTTGGATTCTGACAATCTTCCTAAACCAGTCCGTGCACTCTTTGTCTTCATACCACCCCAGCCTCACAAACACATACGCATGTGGCACACTCAGGCACACACAGACACACACACCTATCTACCTACTAAGAACTGAGAGAGATTTTGGAAAAGAACCAAAGCAAATTCTTCAGGAGCCTAGAAAAAGACTAGACTAATTATTTGCTAGTCCTATTGTCAGGCTGTCTGACATTAGCCAAGTTTCATAGAGTTTCAAGTTTCAGGTTAAAACATTTACATAAGAGTACCCCTGATGTTTTACAGTGGTTTCTCTTGTTATAAAACTCCCCAAATATTGACCTCCTTGGAAATGTTTCTTCTTACACTCCATTGCATGTTATAAATGTCTCTTCTTTGGTTTCTTGAGTTGCCATTATGTACACCCTCACTACCCTCTCACAAGGCGATGAAAACCCTTTGGATCCATTTCTCATCCCTCTGTTGTGGTGACATCATCACTGTTTGTCAAGATATGTCTCCAAGGATCCAATCCCATGCATAATCCATTAAAATGAGATGTGTTCATGAAAAAGTTGTAGATTCAAACTCTACAAGAATAATATGTCTCAAAAAGATATAATCAGCAGAAATCGTTGAGCTACAAGATGTCCACACAGGTTGGAAAAAGAATAGAAGGCTTTGGTTGCTGTCACTGCATTTTGCTTGAAGCTATGTACCAATGCTTTAATGTACACAATCCAAAACTTATGTAGAGTAGTTACAATACAGAGAGTTAGAAATCACTGCAACATTAATTTACTGATTATGAAACTCAGTCACACACAATTATTAAGGACCTGCTATGTACCAAGTATTGCATTAATGGGTAGTGATATAAAAGTAACGGAAATATATTCCCTGTTCTCAAGGAATGCCAGCCAGTATTTAGTGACCTAGTTAGTTACAAAGCTGTACTGTGCAGTCTGGGAGACTAGAGATCTCATCACCCACTGGAAAATTAGCAGTGCCTAGTAGGGTTCCTGGAACACAGAAGTAACACAATAAGGGTTTGGGGAATGAATTTACAATACTGCATTATTTGCTTAGTTTTTTTCTAGTGTACAAGCTGTCCATTGAAAACAAAAATCAGAGATGTTAATAGGAAAGTGTATAGTTTGCCTGTTTGTACATCTACAATGATGTATTGTGTATATTGATACCATTATTTGAATTTATTTTTGCTTTCACATTTGCCAAAAATTTCTAAATTATGCCCCACCTTATCTTTTATGTAAATCATATAAAAACGTAACATTTTACCTCTCCTTTGTCACTTTTATAAATAATGTGAAAAAACAATAATTGAATAAAGGTAAATAAAGTGTAAGTAGAAAATCTTTTGATAGACGTGTACTTATTTCAAGCCACTGAGTCTGAGTCAATTCTCTGTCATCAATTTTGTACGTATGAATTCACGGCACTGATCTCATCACAGTAATAACAGTAAGAACTACGACAACAATAATACTGTGCTGGACTCAGTTCCTCATCCTCTAGAATCTCAGCCAACATCAAAACAATCCATCTGTGAAAACTGAAATTTAACGCTGTTTAGAAGTATTTACTGAGTTTTTTTTATTATAACTACCATAGGCCTAGACAACCTAATTTTCATTTTGAAGCATGATTTGCATCATTTTTGTCTTTCACACTTTTCCACTGTAACTAGTAGGTGGCAAGGCCCAAGGCAGTTGAGCCCTACATGGAAGGAGGACTTACCTGTAGTTTTGCTTTTCGTTTCCTATGTGGAATCTGTCATATTGTGAATAGGCTCGGTTTCCTTCCCAGTCCATTAACTCGATTCTTAGTGTGTACTGCCTCTGACTGGTTATGGCAAAAATAAACTCATTCCCCAGCCAATATTCGCCAGAGGGATTTCCAAACCCCTACAAAAGGAGATAGAGATGCGGTTGTTATTTTAGAGAAAACCTCTTATCAGGTTCAGTATTAACTACGTTCTAAATAATAAGAAAAACTTCTTTAATAGTAAAGGTCATTTTTCACATTTTTACACACTTTTTTCTGATTACTGACTCAATACTTTTCTGCTATGTTTCCCTCCATTGGGCCCTTGCGTCGAATTCTTATTACAGTAAAAGGCTCATATTCAAATCTGTGTAGGTAAGATGATTTCAGATTAAATGAATCCGGTTAATAGGTTTGACCAGTAAACACTTAGTCACAGCTTGCTTTTGAAAATGTTTCTAAAATACTAGTTAACAGAATATTTTAAACATAATTTATACACTTTCAATGAATATTGTCAGATAAATTATTTAACAATATCATTGTTTCTGTTGTTGTTGCTATTACTATTATTATTTGGGAGTCAAATTATGCTTAGATAATAACTTAAACATATTACTAAACCCTTGACTTCTCTAACTTTAATATTTTCATTTTTAAATATTAATAGGCAAACCTGTAAATCCAGGACTAGAGTCACTTAAATGTTTCACTAGCATGGATTTGGGTTTTGAGGCAGATAAGAGCTAGTGAGTGAACCTCACTGACTTCTCTGCACCTGAATCTTAACGTGGTTCTTGTTCTCTGCAGGCAAAGCCCAATCATGGTTGTTAAGTGTTCAAAAACTGTTTCTTTGCGGGAGGGTGGGGGGGAAGTGGTCCCCAAAGGAAAACCAACTCTTAATGTTGGTTATGTTAGTGATAGGAAAATAAGGAACGCTAAGAAACTGCTGGCATTCTAGATTTGGGTATTCAGTTTCTGAATCCCCAAAAGTATTCCTTGGTAATGCTTGAAGTTGAGTATAATTCTTGAACTACATGTTTGTCTTACTGACCAAACTGTGAGCTCCTTGAGGACAGGAGCTGTGCTGTATTTGTGACTAGTGGAATGTTGGCATGCCCTGGTACTCCATATGCTTCACTGACGTTCAAAGGAAGAAAGGAAGGAAGGAAGGAAGGGAGGGAGGGAGGAAGGAAAATACTATAGCACTTTATAATGACATTCAGAGAAGTAACCTTAAAACATAATTCGTGTCATAAGTAATTTGGCTGAGTCTCAGGGAGGTGTTTTTTAAGGTGCCCACTGAATCATAATCACTGGAGCTCTGGTTGAAAAAAGAAAAATCCTGGCTCCACACTGAATCAAAATATTTGAGAACCAGCTCCATTGCATCCAAACAAGCTCCCTGTTTGTCCCTGTGTACCTTAATATTTGGAAGGCACACCTCCAGCGCCGCAGGAGATACTCTGACATTTCAGAAAGAAACTGATTCTGTTAATTGAGGTATTCATTTATAAAGGTTTTACTTTATCCATATTAAGAAGTATGGGGGTAGTACTAAGATAGCCAAAGCAATCCTCCTTTTCTCAACACAGATGATGGAATTTAGAAACTGTTTTTTTAATTTAATGTATATCAACTTTATAGAATTATAACCACAGTAGAAGTATTCTTTTTTAAAAAGATTTCATTTATTTAATTTTAGAGAGAGAGAACGAGGGGAGGGGCAGAGGACAAGGGAGAGAATCTCAAGCAAATTCCATGATCAGCATGGAGCCCAGTGAGGGGTTCGATCCCAGGACCCTGAGATCCTGACCTGAACCAAAAACAAGAGTCAGATACCTAACCGACTAAGCCACCCAGGTACCCCTACAGTAGAAGTATTCTTAACTGCTTTCCTCTTTAACAAACCTAACACATAAAACAGTGTTCTCCCCTCCTTCTTTAAAATGTATTGATGATGGGGAGCCTGGATGGCTCAGTTGGTTAAGCAACTGCCTTCAGCTTGGGTCATGATCCCAGGGTCCTGGGATCGAGCCCCACATCAGGTTCCCTGCTCAGCAGGAGCCTGCTTCTCCCTCTCCCTCTGCCTGCCACTCCCCCTGCTTGTGCTCTCTCTCTGTCAAATAAATAAAAAATCTTAAAAAAAATAAAATAAAATATATTGATGCCCAAAGTAAATTAAATGCATTTAATACATTTGTATACTACTGTCTCTGCCAACTGAGTTACTTACTAAATGTCCATTGTTTTGGGTCACCAAACCGTTTACATGAGTTCTGTTATTGTAATGGTAAGACTCACAGTTTTATGTAAATAATTTAAATATTAGTGGGAAAAAGAGTCATTTGTTTTGTTCTGTTTTGTTTTGATAAAACTTAAACATTAGGTTTGCTCAATAAAAGCAAATCACTAAAAAAATGCTTTTGAATTATGTTTGTTGCAGCAACTCTAAGAGACTAGAAAAATAATAAAACATTAGAGGATTTTAACTTACATTGCTTTGCATGTGTCTTACTTGCTCTAGTTTAAAAAAAAGGAACAACAGAAGGTAGAAATTTGATGCATTTAATTATGGGAGAATTCTAGGAAAGAACCACTGACCCAGAATTCCAGGCTTTGGCCCTACATTTTAAGAAATAGGTAAATGAAGATATAATTGTACACTTAAAGTTAAAATGGAATGCATTAGCATATGTAAGCACACTTTTAAAGTTATTCCCCAGTTTAACTTAGTTTTTAATTAACTCAAACACTTCATTCAGATTGCACTGGGCATATGCTCCCCTGAAGACCATCTACCTGTAGTTCAGAGCAAAGATATGGGATCCACAGAAGTCAGTGTTCCAGTGTTCCCTTGCTTCTCTGTTCCTAAGATGCACAAGTCATACTTTGCCAAAGTTCCACAGTGGCAGGGAATATTAGAGCAACTTAGGATGTGCTAAGAATTTTACACATTTTCGTGGCAGCGGTGCTACATACCAGGAAGAAGAGTGAAGCTTACCTTCTCCAGTGAATAAGCAAAACAGAAAGTTACAGGGCACTGAAAGTCAAAGAATTAGCACATTCTCAGTTGCAGCAGCCACTGGGAAGAAAAAGAAGACTGCTGGGATTTTCCTTGCATTATCTTCTCAGCTCAGATGTGTCAAACTCTCCCTCTAGCCACTGGAGGATTCCCTCTTGTGCGTAGTTAGAAGGGAGTCAGCAACCATACTAAATGTGAATAAGGAAGCTGGGAATGATGAAGTGTTAAGTTCTAGGCCACATTATTTCCGTGCTGCTGAAAGCTCTGCATGGATAAAACTGTCCAGCTTCCCCAGGGACAAGGGCAGTGATCTCCAGTGAGCCTCAGAAATGGATAAGCCTTCATGTCATTCCTATGGGAGCCTCGGTCCCCAGCTTGGCATGCAGGCTTCTACCTCCCTCTACATAGAGAGTAACATCCCTTCCTAAACAGTTTGTTTTTTCTGAGTGAAAAGAGAGGAGGGAGCAACTGAAAAGAGAGCAACAAAATTTGATTTTAGAAATAAAAATTCTATTTCATGCACCTTCCCAGAAAAACTGTCTAAACATGTTCTATTGTGGGAACAAAATGTTGGGCTACAATGAATTGAAATGGCTGTTAGAGAGACAGGGTAGAGGAAGCTTTCTAAAAGCTAAGTGCAGCCATGCAGAAACAACTGTTTTATCACAGAGATGAAAAATAAGTCAAAGAAGGGAAAATGGGCGCCCACATTAGTAAACTGTCTCTTGGATAGCTTATCAGGCACACTACCAATGCGATGCCTAGGAACAAAGGCTTAGCTTTGATTAAATAACTTCTACTCCCTATCTCTGCTCCAACTTGAAGCCTTGCTCTGCCCATTATTTGCTGTGGAACCTCCGATACTACTTCTTAGCCTCAGTTTCCTTATCTGCAAAACAGGGATTAAAAATGTCATTTCCATATATAGTGTTGTGAGAAAGAAATAAGATACCTAAAGTGTTTAGCTCAATGCTGATACAGGAGAACAACAAAATTCTCGTTATTATAGTTAAAGGATATATCACAAATACATAGTAATTTTCTGTTTACTTGCCTCTCTCCCACCAGACTGTGAACTATTTGAGGAGAAGTAGGTTTCTTTCTACTCTGTATGAGAAAGGGAACAAAAATAGTCCAGGATCATGTCTTAGCCTGAAAATTAGTAAGGGGATACTGAAACAATTATTTAAAAGGCTTTCAGATGCTAGGAACTAATGTATTCTTATGACAAATTGAGTGTTGGTTTACATAAATGAGCACTGTCATTTTAATCCAAGAAGTTAATTATTAAATAACAAATTAAAATCAACTGGTTGACACGGGGGCTAAACTGTGCCATAAACCAATGCATAGACTACTTTTTATTCTTGCTTCTGCTTCCTAAGGCCAGGGAGAAGCTGTGTCCTCCAACTCTCCCTTGGTCCTATTTCTTTTAATCTCTTTCTCTCTATATCTCATAAGTTTTAGATCTACAAAAGAGGTAATTTTTGAGATCTTACACGCATGCCAATAAATTGATAGTTTTGACATTTGCTTTCAACCAGGACTGCATATCAGAAACAGTTGTGGAGCTTTTTAAAAATATAGATGACTTGGTTCCCACACGGAGGTTTGGCTCCGTATGTCTGCGGTGCGCTTAAAGATACATACATTTGAAAGGTTCCATGGGTGAGTGTGCTGTGTACCACAGGTGAAGAATCATATAATTATGATGCAGAATAGCTATTCTGCATGCAAATAGGGAAAAATATATAAACCAGATCAAATTATCTGAGTGGTGCACAGGAAAGAGAGAAGCATAAAACCTTATCTTCATATGAAGCTCCATGTTAATAAGACACATTTTGATTATATATTATGGGACTGTCCTTGAAAAAAATGTATATTGATGCCTGAAATGCAGAGATGGCCACATCCCCTAAAAAAAACAGGTCATACCTTACTGCACACATAACAGCTTACCATAGGTCTATATTTTATTCCAAAAGGCCTGTAATATCTACATGAATAAAAATAAAAGCTTATACAAAATTCAGTGGTGATGCTAAAAAAAGCAGCAAGTGTCTACCAAAATGATAAAAAATAGTAATAAAACTAGAATTTCTTCTTTTCTATAAAAAAATCCAACGATGCTAGGTCATATCCTTCCATGAAAACTATTATAATTAGTTACTTCAATCACAATCATATGCAAAATTTTGATACCATAATTCAGACGGATTGGTAATCTTCTCCTTTAGCTCTTTAATAAAAGGCAAAAAAAGACACTGGAACTTAACCTAGACTAATGCTGACTTAAAGTTGGCCCTAAAACCCATATATTATTAATAAAAAATGCACACAGAAGAAAGATCGATAGTCATTAGTTTTTGCCAAGACCTGCAGAAATATTCAGTTTTGGTTGTATGTTTCCAAGTTAATAAGGTAATTGTCTCTGATACTTTGTTGCTTTATTATTATTATTATTATTATTATTATTATTATTATTATTATTATTATTGGTCTGATAATGCTCATAAGAAGTGTTGACTTTCTATAGCTGAAACACAATTGAAACCAGACACAGTTAATGTATTCTATGGGTTTCATCTTTTTTCATATAAACGATTAGAGAAAACAGATATGAAGCAGGGTTACTGATCTGTGGCTTTTCAGAGGTGCTTTAATACACAACTGAATCATGTATCTCCTCTAACTGCTGAGACACTCAGCCCAAGAAAGATCAAAAGGATGATTTATGTCAACATTTTAAATTTCTTATATATTTTTCTCTTTTTAATGTGAAGATGTTAAAAAGCAGTTCAAAATATGCTCTCAATTTCTTTCCAGAAACTAAGAACTCCCAGAAGGTATGGTGCTCAGACCGAAATATTTGTGTCAATAGGAAGCTCTGTTTATGGGGGTAACTGTTTTCAATACAAAGTCAGGTTGTCTCCAGGGTATTAGTCACCACCTTCTATAAAGTTAGGCCACTAGGGTACTATTTGGAACTTCTAACTGGATTTGGCTTCATATATGCAAAAGTACTGCTGATAAGTGTTATTGCTGGAAGCCACTAAATGGTATCCTCATGGCTTGAAAGAGTTAATATGGTTCCCTAAGTGCCTCATTAAAAAGGCCCACTGCAGACTTCCCTCTGCAAACATCTTTACAAATCCATAAACCAGATTTTGCTGAATCCCCTCTTAAGGAAGGTTAAGTGAAAACAAAGCTCAGGTAAAAGACTTTTGTAGGCTTAAAGCCAATGTTAAGAACCAAATACATTGCAAATCTTCCATGTTCAGAGAGATTTAAACATAATAAATTACAATATGTATTTGTAATTCATGTGTTGATAATCTTAACATACTGTTCTGGAAACCTTATGAGGAAAGAGGCAGCCCATAGATATCAACCGGAATGAAGAGAAGGAGAGAAGAAAGGCAGAAAGGAAGGAGGGGTGAAATTTTATTTCTGGACTCAGGGCTCAAGAAAGAGGTGAAGCATCTTCGTGTGCACCAGTAGATGAGTGAAGATTGGGGAGGAAATGGTGCCTGCCAAGAATTCTGTTTGTGTTTTCCCGAAGGATGCGTACCTTAGCAGCCAGTTCTGAAGCAGGGAACAGAAGTGGGAGTGACTGATAAGAATGAGCATAAAGGAGCCTACATTCTTTTTGGATTCAGGTTATTTGGTCTTTAGGTAAAAAGCTCTGGAGGAAAACAACGGAAACACTTTCTACCATGTGTTTTGGTGAAAGTCAACCAAGTTGTGACATGCGATGAATTCTCTTAATTAAAAAAAAAAGCAGTCAGACTCATTTTTGCCAAAATATTTCAGATTTCTGGAGCTTATCTCAATTTTCTGACCATGTAGAATGGACACTCAGCTGATAAACTATTCTAGTTTGAATGAAATAAGGTAGTCTTTCTATTTTTTTAAAAAAGGGAGCGGGGTAAACTCCCCGAAAACTATAATTAAAGAATAATTCAGCCTCAGTCAAATGATGAAAAAAATATTGCTTAAAATACATATATATCTGGTAAATACTTATAAGACATGAATCAATGCTGTACTTCATATGTTAGTCTGTCTTACTTAATGTGCCTAGTTTGCCAAGGCAGCAGATAATAATGCAGCATTTTGGAAAGTCACCACGATGATAACTTTATATTAAATTTTTCTATTATCATTGATATTAATAATAATGTATTTCAGATTTGCCTGAACCTATATCTGTAGTCTGATTCTCAGATGACTTCTTCACATTCCATTTTAATGATGAAAATAATTGTGAGTTAAGGTAGCTTGCAAAATAATATTTTTGGCAGAGTTAAGTAAAAATTTTGGAGTCTTTGATGTCTTAATCTTGGGTAATAACTACTGGTTACTGAAAATTTAGTGTGCCAAATGCTTTATTTATATTAATCCTCACAACATCCCTGCAAGGCAGGTGAGGTATTATCATTAATACCCCCTTTTAACTAGTGAGGAAGTTAAGGTATAGGTTAAATGATTTGCCAAAAAACACTCCGTTTGTAAACGGTAGAGTGAAGACTCAAACTGCTGATATAGACATAATGCGATGTCCTTTTTTAGAACTTAGATTAAATTTTTCCCATATGTTCTTAGAATCACATAAGCAGAAAGAGACCTTAGAGTAGAACCAGTATTCTCTGTAACAGTCCTGGTGACTTACTTTCTACTGGGGTTTTTCCACTGAAGAGAGGTCCTCACCACTCAATAGACAGTCCATTCATGTTGGAAAGAATCCTAAGAGAGTTTTGTCCATAAGCAGTCAATTTTGCCTCTCTAGAATGTTCTTCCATTCATTATGGAGCTTCCCTCTTTAAAGAAGTGTTAAAATACAGATTCTAATTCAGGAAGTCTAGGATGGAGCTTGAGATGCTGCATTTCTCATAAGCTCCCAGACAAAGCTAGTGCTGCTGGTTTCTGGACTGCACTGTGAGAAGCAAGCTCTAGTACATCTACCTCCAACCAGTCAATTTAAATAGCCATCAGACAGGTTTATACCTAATCCCTTTTTTTTTCTACAAGTTAGAGCCCCATTGATTCATCCTGTTTGTACCTCATAGGATAAGTTCATTTGTTAGAAATCCACCAGAATTTAAAGCATATTCTTGATGTAACCAGACTATGGCAGACACCAATGAGTTCTGCATTTCTTGAGACCACAAACTATTAATGTAGCCCGAATACACTGGTCTTAATTGTTAGTAGCCAACAACACAAAATGAGCTCATAGTCAAGTAAATCTATCCAGACTTTCAAATACCAGGTTCTTAAGCTAATTTGTCACTTTTATCCTATATTTTCACTTAATTTTGTGTATTTTTGGTCTAGGTGAAAGACTACATTTATCTCTGTAGAAGTCTATCTTGCTGGCTGTAGCCTTCTTTTCTACACAGAATTTTATGGTTTATTGAAGACATCAGGTTCCAACTTTGTATAACTCCAAACTTTATTAACTTACGTTCATAGTGTTCAACTGGGTATCTGATAAAAAATACTGTAGACACAGAGACACCACAAGAGACCCCCTCCTCATTTATTAAAATAATTTTAACTGTCATTTGGCCAACTATGAGCTTACTAGTGTATAAACTGTGATGCTGATTAACTACAATTTTTACACATTTTCTAAAAGAATATCAAGACAGAACTTAGACTGTACAACATGCCTCTTCACCTTTTTCTTTACCTTCTGAGAGGGGAATTTGTCAAAAATTGGTCAAGACAAGAATTATCCAGAACAATTAGATGTAAAATATGACAATAAATCCATAAATGGAAGCCTCTTCCATTATTGTATCTTGACATTCTGTCAGCTGATTTTTTTTTTTAAAGATTTTATTTATTTATTTGAGAGAGAGAGAATGAGAGACAGAGAGCAGGAGAGGGAGGAGGGTCAGAGGGAGGAGAAGCAGACTCCCCGCCGAGCAGGAAGCCCGATGCGAGACTGGATCCTGGGACTCCAGGATCATGACCTGAGCCGAAGGCAGACGTTTAACCATCTGAGCCACCCAGGCGCCCCTGTCAGCTGATTTTAATAGTTAATATTGTAGGCATTGACTATATGATTATTGTATTATGCATTATTTAAACCATCTACTATATTATCTTGGAAAAGCTGATCTCCCAACTTGCTCACTTTCCTTTTAAAATGGAGACAGCTAATAGGTTTGATATAAAAAAAAGTAAGAATTTATGTACAGGGCTGGCTCATATTAACCATTGGAAACTTTAGCTATGATGACAGTGACGGTGACCATGATGTCTGCTATTATTTTGGAGACCCCTAAGGAACCATTCCTCACAGTTCACACCCTTGTGTATTCCTATCATCTTGAATGTGGACTGGCCCTGTCAGTAACTTTAACCAAAGAAAGCCGTGGAAGTGATACAGTGCAATTTCTGGGTCTAATAGACCTTAAAAAGGTGTGGAAGCTTCGATTTTTGTGTGTGAGGGATGTCAACTGCCAGATAAGAAGTCTGATGACCCTGAATCACCATACTGAGAGAAGCCCAACCCAGCCACATGGAGGAGCTCTTAGTCAACACCCAGCAACAACTTGCCAGCTATGTGCGCGAGGCCACCATTAGTACCTCTCCATAATCCACAGCCCAGCACACCTCCCTTGTCCTTGTTCATGTACCCAGTCTGGGTCTGGGTCCTAGCTTCCCCCACCCTCATTCAACCAGGAACAAATCCAGACAATACATAACAGTTCACCAAATAATTTCGGTAATATATTTTTCTTTCTGATGCACATATGGAAATCATTTACTGAAAATGACTTATGAGTGTGTTGTGTTTAATAAAAATAATGTGATTAATGTATCATTTTATTTTTAAAATAGCTGAAAAACACCTAAAAATACAAGGGCTTATCACATAGTATGGTGAAGATAACCTCATGGTAAAACATCAGAAACTATGTAAACTCTTCCATCTTACCATTTTATATTCTTTCCAACCTCTTTGGAAATCTAGACTTCCATCTTCACGACGTTGTATTACAGTCCAACCTCCTCCATTAAGATCCATATTGCAAAATACCTGATAGATGCAGGGAAAATAAAGTCAAGTGAAAATTATGTCTGTTTTAAAGAGATAAGTATCAGATATGTCTCGAAACAGAAATAGGATGCGTAGGCCTATAGATAAATCGAATAAAAATTACTATGTTGAAAAATGTTAACTTAGATATCTTATCAGTTATTTTGTTTTACATGAGAATTGTTTTGATTAAATTCCATCATATAACTTAAATTACTTGTAAAAATTTAAATCAGTCAGCTGAAAACTGTCTTAGTCTCAGATTATAAAAATTATTTTTAAAAATCTCTGTCTTAAATAGTAATAGGCACTTACGTATGTTTGATTTTTAAAAATGCTATCTAGGTCTCTAAAATTACAGACCATTTTATTGCCAAAACATAAGACTCAGAATTCTTAAGTTTTTAATTAATTGAAATGGTTATATAATAATAATAATAAAGATTTTGGAAAAATAATTTTTAAAAAATCATATATATTTAGCTATTACATATTTCATTGCACATTAAGTCCTATACAGTTACATACTACAATAATTATTCTTGATGGCTCAGTATTACATTAGAGGCAAAATTTGGTCCATAGCATATGGAGAACATATTATTTGCTTAAATTTTCGTCATGAACAATAATAGGAGGATATGACATACTGTATTTTTGACTGCGACAAGCATTTCTTCCCCATGTGGAAAGTTATCCAACGCTTTCAAAGACTTATGCTCATTTCAATTATTCTAAAACAATAGTATTTATTTAGAAATCGATTCATTTCCCCCGAGTCTACCCAAGGAGAGAAACATATCTGTAATGGGATTATCTTTAGAGAGTAATCACTGTAATTGACATAGTATGGATGTGGCAGTTTGATTATTTAAGGTCCCAGCTATGGAGAACACCATTCCCCAGGCAATTGATGACTAAGGCATTTTGGAGGCTGGCTAAAGGTATAGATATGATGCAACAGAGGCAGACAGGCTGGGTGGGCACAGAGCTCAGCTATGATTAAGGGCAAAACCTCAAGTGTTTTCCCCGAAGCCCTCAATTTGGAGCACAAATAGCTAACGGGTATGAAAACAGTGGCAACAACTGTCATTCAGAGGACAAATTGTCCATGTACTTCCTCAGAGTGAAAGGAACTAAGAGATCCATGACTATTTGTGAGCATATAAATTAGGCAAACTGCTCTCTAGAGGGCTCTTCCTCTATTTTGACAACAGTCACCCATCAGTATATCTTTACTGTCCCTAGGAATTGACTCACCTTCAAGATTATAAATTGAAATTCTACTCTCTGTCCCAAGGTTCCCCCTCGACTAATCCCTTAAACTATTCGGTACCCACTCTTTGTCTTCAACACAACTTCTAGCTAGTCTTTCCTCCTCCTCAATTCTAATTGATTCATTCACTTATTTTTTTATCTAATTCAAAACTGTATTGGGACTAATCTGCTTGAGAGCAATAGTTGATAACATGAAAATGGATTATTTAAAGAAGTAAAGAAAAAATGGACAGAGATGTATATGTGCAGGAAGGAGGAGTTTCCAAAAATGGGCTTTGGTGAACTGATGGAGGTAAAATACATCAATAACCTTTAGGTAGGCATTTGTCACTGTCCCAGTGCCTAGAACAGTGCCTAGCCTATACTGGGTACTAAATGAATATTTGTTGAATAAACAGAGAAGCAAGAAGGAAAGATAAAATAGGAAAACCTGATTAATGCAATGAAAGCTGAGGATGGATTTTGACTTGGGGAAGAGATCGACTTAATCAAATATTCCAGAGAAGTCAAGACAAATCAAGATGAGGAAAATACACACTTAAATTTGAAATGAAGGAGTCATTAGTGACCTTGAGAAGACAGACTGCAGGATTCCTATGAGAATAAAACCCAGAGGGCACAGTTTAAAGAGGGCATAGGTGGTGATCCAAGACAAGTGGCCAAGGTGGAACTTTACTGGAGATACTTAAATAAGAGTCAGTGAAAATGCCAAGGAAACATTTTGCTAGAGGTAACTAGTGCCACTTGATTCTTAATTAAATTTTTACCCTGCCTTGACTGGTTAATCCAGAATATTTTTTTCCAGATTTTTCTTCTAAATGGACACTAATTGCCTGGAACTTTGCTAACCTGTGTTTGCAAAGCTATAAAGTCCACTTACTTACTCAGGGAAAGGAATAACTACATTTATCAATATGTAATGTGCAGAGGAAACTATTCTTCACAGTTTTGTTATTACTATTATCTATGTTATTAGAATTCTATGCACTTAAAGTTTTAAAATTATTCACAAATTTTAGAAAAAGACCAATTTCCTTTTAAACAAATATATTCAGTGACTTGAGAATGTTAAGATGTGCTAAAGGTACTTCTTAGATAAAGGCCCAGAGAGAGTCGGAGCTACATGGGGAGGCAGAAGTTCCCCAGGAGGATTATTGTGTTAGAAGCTGAGGTGCAGAGAAGGTAAGATGTTGGACATTTGCTCCACAGTTCTTATTATGACTCAGTAACAGCAGTAATAATAATAGCTGCCATTGTGGAATATGGTCACAATAGAGCTGAAGGACGTATTGGTTAGGGGCATGAACTTGGGTACCAAATTACCTGTGTTCAAATCCCAACTCTGTTCTCTTTATCACTTAGGTTTTTGCAAGGACTAAATGAGTCAATGCACGTAGAATTTTTAGAATAGTGCTTGATACATAATAGGCTTTGCCATGACCCTCATTTCTTAGATGTATTTTACATATGAGATAGTATATATTTACATTATGCATTATATACTCTGCATATAATATCTTACATATTGTAGCATAGTTTACTATTATATATACCATTGCATATAATTTATTGTTTATAATAAGAATAATATGGAATGTATGAAATCAAAACATATAATAGTTCAATAAATTGTCCTTAAGATCACCAGCTTAATATGTATTAATGTATTTTATATAATTTATATTTTATATAATATGTATTTTCTATATTTTTGATTAATATAGTAATATAATATATAACATAAATATAATAATATTGACATCGTTAATCTCTGAGCATGCCTCTTTTTATTACATATCTATCTAAGAAGTTGAATTCACTCTAGCCAAAAAAAAAACAAAAAACAAAAAACATGTTATTTCTAGTCAGAAGAAAAATAAAAAAGCCTATGCTTAACAGATGAAGGAAGTATAAGAAAATAGGTGGCTGGTTTCAAAAGATTTGAGACATGAAAGGACTTGAAAAGTTCATTCGCCAATATTGTGTGGTCTGTGCTATCTGGTGGTGCCTTCCTGGAGACAAGAGCCCCACTACATTTACTATGCCTGTTGCATTTATTGATCATATGACTTGGGCTTAACTCTATCCAAGAAAAGATTGAACTGGCTCCTATCCCAGGCAAGGTCAAAGCTTTCAAGCATTAAATACCTTTTAACATAATACAGAGATTTAAACCCAAACAAAAAGGGGAAATTTGATTCACATAGTTCTTATGGTTTTATGCTCCATACAAGTTGGAATGATTAGGCTTGAGGATGTTAATTATTTTTCCATAACCTTAAGTAAAAAAAAAAGGCTCAACACATTTGTCATGGTCCTTTTCCAAGAATTAGGGGACTCACAATTCAGAAACAAATTTTTAATATTTTATAATAAGCAGAGTTATGACTTAATGGTTTGAATTTTTGGATGAAACTACGCTGGCTAGAAAGCCTTTGGTTTTAGAAACTGATGAAATAGAAGGAAAAATCCTATTTCCTACTACTATGCATTGAAGGGAATTCAGAGAGAAAATAACCACAGCCATTAGTACTACAAAGGTAAAAAATAAATACATAAATGATTTAATTCTCATATTTGATCTGCTTGAAAAATTAGTCTTAGAAAACTGCCTTCATCTCATTTGGAAAGATAACAGTTATTTTCAGACATCATTTCTTGGAAGGGAATGATGTCGGTTAGAAAAATAAATGTATATCAATTCTGTATGCACGTGACTCTTACTCTGCTTACAAGATGAGTATCTCTTAATAGCTTTTGTCAGCTGCCTAAATAGCCCAATTTTATTGATTGGTCCATATCCCAGATCTTACATATTTGAACTTGTTTTATTTTTTATAAGCTTGCCTTGAGTTTCATACCCTTGCTAGAACTTCTGCAAGCATAACAATAAGCAAAGCTTTTGCTAAGCATATCCAAACGTAGCACCAAATTTTATATCTACCATGCACAATTTACTGGGAAGAGTGACGATCATAAAGATGCATTTTCCAAGCACTTTTTACAGGATTCAGAGAATTTCAATGATTTATATCAACGCAGGAGAAGAAAATGAGATTACAAGGTAGGAAGGAGCAGGGTGGTTTATAATCAGAACATGAATCAATTTTACATAATTTTCTGATAATAAACTCTTTCCTGTGCCACTCATATAGGTTCCGATTAAAGAAATTATAAGTGGTGCAACTTCAGTCACCACTAACATAATTATCTCATTTAGCCCCCTGCTAAGAGATACAGTCTGGAGTTGATGCTTTTATTACAAAGCTTGTGTTCAGTATCTATTAATTATGTGATTTGGGCAAGTTATTTTTCTAAAATAGGGATAATGGGAACACCCATCTCATAGAGTTACTGAAAAGAGTAAACAAGTGAGTTTTTACATCTAAAGTGCTTAGAATATACCTGGCAAACTGTAAATGCATTTGAACTACTTTATTAACCAGCTTCTAAATTATACCAGGGAAAATTCACACAATAATTTTTCTTACTGGTGCTATGATAAATGAGATGTTTTAAAAAATTGCTATCTATGAAAAGTGCTGGTTTATCAGTCTAAAGTTTCCATAATAGAACAACATTACTACTTGTGAGAAGATCTGTGATCATAAATGGGAAAGAATAAAACAAAGGAAGGAACACTTAAGTCAAGAAGACCTAAGTCTTTCTCCCTTCTGCTCAGTGATCTCTCCCTCTCACCATGCTCTGCTCTTTCCAATAAAACTAAAATCTAATGATAGTCCTGCAAAATGCCATGTGAGCTTCTTTCCTCTGAAAAGTCATGGGGCTATTTCCATAGTGATAAGAATTTGCCTCTTACAGGCTTACTTGCTCAGGCTACTATTTTTCCTTAGGCCCAAACCTTAAAGTTTAACTGAGCAGATAGTTGACATTTGGAATTTAATATTTTAGATCTCATTTATTCAAGAACAACCCTGAAGCTCCATCACATGGAAAATCCATCATTTTGGAGAGGTATAAGTTTAAATCATGCCATCCTGATGAAACCAACACAGGAGTCAGCTACTGAACTAGTGAACTGGATCCTCCAACCCACACTTTTATGTAAATATTAAAAGCAAATTTATTCAAGATTATGACTTAAGATAATATACCTTTCTTCCACCCTAACAGGAGCAGTAGTTCTTCAAATAGCCTGCACATCATTTGCATCTCAAAATGTTCTGAACTAGCATAGTTCAAAACACTGGTTATGGTTATACATGAATTAAAATTCATGGAGTGATCAAAACTTATTTATAATGTCCCCTTTGTCAAAACTTGGAGCCATGTGTCAGGATTGGGTGATGGAGTGAAAAAGATTCTGAAAGTGTGAATGTTAATTTGAAATCCCTAAAAATTGTTTTTATTATATCACAGAATCATTAAGTGTCTAAAAGGAAGGTCACTTAATATTTTTAGCTAACTTCTATTGTTATAGCCAAGTTATATTTTAGGGGAACTGACAATAATTTGGGGGTTCTTTCAGGTCATGGGGAATACAGGTCATGGAGAACACAAGTAGGTAAATTATAGAGTATTTATGTTAGCTCTGCTCCTCTCCCCCAGGACAGTTTTTGATAAACTTTACATGCTAGATGTATGGTGTAAGAGTATGTGGATGTACATACATGCCCATGTGTATACCAATTGAATTTAAGCTTAAGTATGATTCTAAGGTATCAGCAAGTAGAGTAGGAAGGCTTCATGTCATAAGATCCAAAGGACCAAAAGGTTCCCCCTCACAATGAATAAATCTCTTCTTTTTACTCCTAGACTCACCATTGAACCCTCATAGTTTTTTTTTTTTTTTCTCTTAAGTCATGGAACACTCAATTTAGTGAGATTTTGCACAGAAGCCCAAGGTGAAAAACAAGTAAAACTAAACTTCTGTGGTAGGTGGCCCAGGTAGCAATGTATGGAACTGTGACCACTGCTTTTTTTGCCCACTGCACGTTCTCCCTCCTTCCCCATTATGGAAGAGCATGAAAGGCCTCCTTTCAGAAAAAAAATTGTGTCCCAGCAAAGGGAAACAAAAAAACACTGAGCTAACTGAAACCACTAATCCTTACTGAAATCAGGAGAGAAAGGACACTGGTAGAGTCCATATTCTCTCCTTGACAATGATGTAACATCTGGCAAACTACTCTCCAAGATTCATTTCTCTCATCCATCAAAGGAGACTAATAATCAAGAAGACTAAGTTAGGCTTACTTACTATATACTACATTGAAATGTTGATATTATTGTCAGAAGTTCATTCATTCGTTTAAACACATATTTATTGAGGACCTGTTATGTGCCCAAAACTATGCTGGGTCCCAGGAAACCAAAGACAAAAAGGCATGATCCTTGCCTTGTAGAACTTTGCTAGTGAAAAAGTCATGCAAAGCTGCTTGAGGGAATTAGGGAAGGCCTTCCAAGAGCACTTGCACAGTATCCACAGGAAATGAGGATGCAGGACTGGTAATTTAGGTGGGGCAAAGAGGAGAGGAAAATTGTTTCATCCTTTGAGGATGGAGCATTACAAATGCAGGTGGTCTTCTTGGAGTCTTGGGTCTCTCGGCATCTTGGGCAAAATTTTAACATATCAAAGAGCAGGGCTCTCCTTACATCTCTCCATAAATCCTGCTTTGAACAGACTGTCTCAATCACTACACTTCTACAGTCTGTTATAATTATCTGTGTAATTATCTGTCTTCAGCACCACAGTGGGATCTGTTTGTTCTATATTGTGTTCCTAGGCACTGACTGACAAATGACATCCACTTAATATGTTGAGTGAAGGAATGGATGGATGATTTAATGAATAAATAGTGAAAAAGAGATAGAACAGCAAGAATATAGTATTTGCTTACTTCAAAGTTTACTCTGGATCCTGTTCAACATACTAATGAATCCTAGCCTCCAACCCACTCTTTTAGGTAAACATGAAAAGCAATTCCTATCAAGATGTTTAGTCAAGATAGAATATGTTTCTCCCACCCTAATAGGAACAGTGATTGTTCCTAATAGGAACAAATAGCAATATGTCCTTGGCAGCCCCTCCACAGTATTTAGACTATAGATGATGTGTGCCATCTGGGTCCTCGGGACCTGGAAAGATTGCTCCTACCTCTTCTCCATGTACTTGAAGTACATATCACCTCAACATGTAATCTAGACAACGCAAGCATTTATGAGCAATGGGACATCCCAGGAATGAGCAGAGAATAAATAAAAAACTTTGTGAAAGAGGGATGGGAGCTTTGGGTTTGGAGGAGGTCTGTGCAATAGGGTTTTCATCTTTATGGACCTGGCAAACAGAATCTTTGGGAGAAAAGAGCTCAGGCATATATATTTTCAGCTTAACAAACTCACAAATCAGTCTGATTATTCAGCAATTCAACTAGGATCTGCTTTACATCTCGTAAACAAACACTTCTGGTTTTACCTTTTTGGGTTCTGGCATATTATTAATATAAATAGTGTAGATTCCACTTTTATTAAAACCAGCTTGATATACATCTGCACAGTCTCTAAATGGTTTCTCTTCCTCTTTTTTTCCTCCCTTTAGTAAAACTGCAAAAAAAAAAATTGCAATATGTGAGCAAAAATATCAGTACCATTAGTACCCGAATGGATCCAAGTACAGCTAAGCAAGTCTTTATTTCCTCCAAACAAATGTCAATATTGCATTTACTGACAAATCAATCATAAAGACAATACTAGATTTGAGCTGACTCACAAAATTACAAAACTAATGGAAAAATCTGTAGAGAAATTTCTAACTGAATACTTTTTATATTTTGCTTACTTAAATTTTGTTTTTATCTATAATTTCCAGAACATCAACTCAAGGGACAAATGGCCTGATAGTGTAACACCTCCAACTAGTAATAATTATGTCAATTTTCCTCCAAAATTTCTAAAATGTTCTTACATACATTTCATAGGAAACTTTTAAAAAAATGCTAAAGCATTTTTGGAGGAGAAAGAGATAATGATAACAAATTCAAACATAAAAATACCATATGGAGGTTTAAAACACTAAAAGTAGATAGAACTGTTTTTCTGTGGCTTTGGACTGATAAGCTCCTAGAAATTTCTATTAAAAAAAAAACACACCTCGAAATATTTAGATTTAGCAAGTAGAAAAGAGCCTCTGACCTAATTTACCTAGAAAGGGAACTGAACTTTGTTTTTTGGGTTTTTTTTTAAGATTTTTATTTATTTATTTGACAGAGAGACACAGCAAGAGAGGGAACACAAGCAGGGGGAGTGGGAGAGGGAGAAGCAGGCTCTCCGCTGAGCAGGGAGCCTGAGGTGGGGCTCGATCCCAGGACCCTGGGACCATGACCTGAGCTGAAGGCAGACGCTCAATGACTAAGCCACCCAGGCACCCCTGAACTTTGTTTTTTATTTAATGCCTGAAGTTAAACTATCAGGCAGATAATATACAAATAAAAGAACACAAATGAATAAGTTTTGAAATTAACTTATATAGGGGAAGAGTTCAGTAAAGGGTGGAAGTCAAATGAAAAAGGAAATTTAATTAGATAGGCTCTACTGAGAATTTTATTCACTGACCATCTATTATGAAGTTCTTATTACTGAGATCAAAATACAAAAATAACTCATATTTAGTAGTCCTTTGCTAAAGATTTACATGGCACATTTACAAAATATTTATGATTAGTATTTTCTAATAAATATATAGTTTAGTAATTCGTTTCATTAACCCCTTCAAGAAGATTTTTTAAGATTATTTTATCACTTTGCCCTTAAAGTCTCATGTTATTTAATAAATACCTGCTTTCAATCACTTTGAGTCATGATTGGCCTTTTTTAATAAGAATAGCAAAAGTAAACTATTAAATGATGCTTTTAAATTGATTTTACATGCTCTAACAATCTAAAGCAATAGCCTGATTTAAACTTAATAAGCATGAGTTTACTAATTTATAGGTAATTAAAAACAGTCTAAACTGATGGAAAGAATGACTATCTCAATATAAATACTTCAAATTTCCAAAAATAATTATGTTTCAAGAAAATGAAATATCCACTCAGATATACTGCCATAACAAAAATATAGAATTATAACGTTTAATAGTATCATGGTTTTCTATACAGCTCATGTGTGCACTGATGGTTTTGTCTACTTACATTAATAATTACATCTGAACACCACCATTGCAGCTGCAATATCAACACAGAATAAGTAGAGGACTGTGCATTCATAGGACAGTGAAGAAGCATGGCACAGAAGGTATGCAAATAACAATTTAAAAATGAATATATAAATGCTGATTCAAAAGCCATCTTTAACTGCAATGGGTGTGTTATGTAAAGGTGTTGTTCTGAAGAACATCAACACAGTTCATTTGTACTTGCTTATTTTAAGTTAATGGACTGCTCTTTTTCTAAAAGAAAACCTTCCTAAATTCTAAATGTTTAATCATCTATTGAAACAAGTTGAAAACAACCAAATTAGAAGCAAAAAAAAAAAAAAAAAGGGAAGGGATGTAAAGAAATGCCAAATAAAATTTATGATCCCTTGAGAGGATGAACACAGGAAGATGTGGTAAAGAGGAATTCAACGGTAAACCCATTTTTCTTTTTTGGGTTAGAGATGGGGAAAGTCACTTATCTAAGGAGAAAATGCTTCTCTTACTGAATATACCACTTCCTGCTCTCCCTTATTTAGTTATGCAGTGAGAATACACTCCATTCCCACTTCTCTGTCACCTCCCCTCCTCTTTTCCTTTCCTCCTCAGGAAGATGTGGGTGAAAAGGCTGTTGTGTGGGAAGAGGGAAACCCACACATATTTTCAATAGTAGAGAAAAATAAAAGAAGCTGAGTATTAGCTTATTTTTATGGAAACTAACTGCATAAAAATGATGTTCAAACCATGAATGTAAGTCTTGTAACTGGAAAAATGGCTTAAAGATTCTATCATAAAAGGAACAAATAGTTATACTATGGATTTGTTGTTATTGTAATGGCAACATACCTTATGAAGATATTTCATTTTCTTGAAATATAGTTTGGTATTTTTGAAAAATAGAATCACATTCTTTCCAGAAGAAACAGTCATTTTTCCAGAAAGATTGGATTGCTTGTATTTAATTACTCATTAATTAGTAAACATTATATTTGAAAGTTTGATCCAGGCTATATTTTAGAGTATTAAAGCACTTAAAATCAGTATAAAAGCTCCATTCACAGCTTACCTTTGACATTTGTATTATATACTATGGTTTGAAAAAGGCCCTTCTATAAAGGTAGACTGATCTTCAGTTTTTCTTTTTTCATTCTACAAAGTGGGGTAGTTAAACATAGCTCTGAGGCAAGTGTATGGATTATTTAACACAGCAGAGTGACTGAATTATAGTAAGAACTCAAGAAATGGTAGTTATTATTATTGTTATAGTAATAATAATATTATTAATGGCAACATATATCATTATTCTTTCTTACAGAAGTGACACTAGTAGGCTGGAGAAGGCCAGCGAGTCCAGTCAATGGAATAGTAGATCTTCCATTCTCTAATCCGATATTATAGCTGACCAAATGTTAGAGCAATTACAACTGACTGGTTATATTTAGGGTTATACTGAACTGGACTTTCCTTATCAAAGTTGGCTAATTGGTTTATTTTATTCATTGACTATACCACATCATATCATTGTTTAAGTCTAAAAAAACCCAGGTAATCTAATCTTGCTGCATATATAAACTTAATCTGAATAGTTAAAATTAAAAGATTATTTCAGATGAAATGACATATGATGTATATAACAACACACTGATTGTAGAAGTTTTAATCCCTAACTTTAATTTGCATGACTAATTATTTTCTTTGTTATGCACTAGAGATATTATGATTATGTATTGTAAAACTGGACACATAATAAACATTTTAAAAGAAAGAAAGACAATAAAAAGATGAAGTTACTGCCCATTACAAGTGTCAGAACTAAGGATACATTCTTGTAGGAGGTCTTGAGATTCAATAAAATGGAAGATAATGTCTAGAGGAATGTTTGGTGAATGACAAGATACAGATATGGAAAACGTGATGGAATAGGATGAAAGAAGCATCAGCTGGACGAGCCAGAGAAAATGGAGAGCTGACTGAGGTGTTTATCTATCTGTCAAAGTAGCTCAGACTTTTTATAATAATAGACTGGTTTAAAAGCATGAATTAAAAAATTTATCTTTATATCTAAAAGTTCCTTTTTTGATCATATACTCTCTTTTTCCTCTCCCTTTAATTCTTAATGAGTTTGTCTTTCCTCTAATTGAGAGTCTGGATCCCCACCATTACTGTCAGTCCCTCACTAGCCTCCCTTTCCTGTCTTCCTAACTTCTATCTCACCATCAGGCATTTCAAAACAGCTCAGGTGGAATTCCTCGTGCTCTCCACCCACTGTCCTTTCATCTACTAATACCTTGCATGGGTAAATCCCAACTAAAGGAAGAACATTTACTCATTTTCTCACCCCTGCTTTCAGATTGCAAACACTGAAGTGAGGCTTTTTAATGCCATCCAAATGCATATTTTCTAAACTCAGCAATGCTATATTGGGATGCCTGGGTGGCTCAGTCAGTTAAGCATCTGCTTTCGGCTCAGGTCATGATCCCAGGGTTCTGGGATCGAGTCCTACATCGGACTCCTTGCTCAGAGAGGAGTCTGCTTCTCCCTCTGCCTGCTGCTCCCCCTGCTTGCATGTGCTCTCTCTGACAAATAAATAAATAAAATTAAAAAAAAATCCATGCTATATTTATTAATTCAACAAATACTGACTGAGCATCTTCCATGTGCATGACTTTTCCCAGACAGTGAAGATACAGACATAAGAAAACCACAATCTGCTTTAACGTAATCACAGTCTGATGGAAGAAAGTCCTACTATATTAGTAGGTCTTCTATGACAACTCATGATAGCTACATCCATGATTAGTACCTTCCATGACAGAGGAGAATTCAAGCTAGCTTAAGCAAAAAGATAATTTATTCAATCATAAACAATGTAGAATAGAATTTTAGGTAAAGCATAATCAGATTTTAAAGAATGTGAAGAGGAATTGGTTTCTTTATCTTTTTTTGGACACAGCTGTTAAGTCTCTACCTGGTCACAAGATGACTAGCAACAGCTTCTAGAGCTATAATGTTAGCAGCTTGAATATAGCACCAAAGAGAGATTATGCACACTATTGTTATTTTGGAGGTATGTATCAAGTTCACTGGGAATATTCAGGAAGAATTTATTCTGTCTGCCATGTAAACTTGGGGAAGGCTGTCCAGAAGAGAGAACAGTTGAATGAAAAAGAAAAAAAAAAAAACACGTAAAGCAGTTTATCTGAACTAAATTTTAAAAGCCTGGTATGGCAATTCAAAGACTTTGTGCACACTAATATCAACAAATAAATCTAGAAAGTTTTAGGAAAGAATCATTATTCATTCTTTTCATTTAGCCTTATCTCTATAACCTAATCTTCATGAGCTAAAGGGAAAGAATAGGGACACAAGCAGGTGCATGTCTGCCTTTCACCAGCCAACATTCAGCCAATA